GAAAAGCATACACCAAGGGATGTCCCCTTGTATGTTCCTTGTGACCTCATCCATCACTAAGGCAAACAGATAAGGGCTCAAAGCTGACCCTTGATGTAGTCCTATTCTAATCGAGAAGTCATCCGTGTCTCCATCACTAGTTCGAACACTAGTTACAACATTGATGTACATGTCCTTAATGAGCCCGACGTACTTCGTTAAGACTTTATGTTTGTCCAAAGCCCACCACATAACATTCCTTAGTATTTTATCATAAGCCTTCTCCAAGTCAATAAAAACCATGTGTAGGTCCTTCTTCTTCTTTCTATACCGCTCCATAACTTGTCTTATTAAGAAAATGACTTCCATGGTTGACCTTCCGGGCATGAAACTAAATTGGTTCATAGAGACTCGCGTTATCGCTCTCAAGCAATGCTCAGTAACTCTCTCCCATAGCTTCGTAGTATGGCTTATCAACTTAATTCCCCGGTAATTAGTACAACTTTGAATATCCCCTTTAGTCTTTAGATCGGTACCAATATAATTCTCCTCCACTCATTAGGCATCTTATTCAATCGAAAAATATGGTTGAACAACTTGGTTAGCCATACTATAGCTATGTCCCCGAGGCATCTCCACACCTCGATTGGGATACCATCCGGTCTCATCGTCTTACCTCCTTTCATCCTTTTCAACGTCTCTCTGACCTCAGATTCTTGGATTCTCCGCACAAAGCGCCTATTGGTGTCATCAAAAGAGTCATCCAACTGAAAGGTTGTGTCCGTATTCTCACCATTGAACAATTTGTCAAAATACTCCTGCCATTGATGTCGGATCTCATCCTCCTTCACCAAGAGATGCTCTATTTCATACTTAATGCACTTAACTTGGTTGAAGTCTCTTGTCTTTCTCTCACGAACCCTAACCATCCTATAAATGTCCTTCTCTTCTTCCTTCGTACTCAAATATTGGTAAAGATCCTCGTACGCTCTACCCTTTGCCACACTTACAGCTCGCTTTGCAGTCTTCTTTGCCAACTTGTACTTCTCTATGTTGTCCACACTCCTGTCATGGTACAAGTGTCTATAGCATTCTTTATTCTCCTTAATAGTCCTTTGGACTTTCTCGTTCCACCACCAAGTATCTTTAGCCTCGCCTCCACTTCCTTTGGTTACTCCACACACCTCTGAGGCCACCTTTCAAATGTTGGTTGTCATCTTCTCCCACATGTTGTTTATGTCTTCTTCTTCCTTCCAAGAGCCCTCTTTGATAACTCTTTCCCTGAATACCTCTGACATCTCCCCTTTCAGTTTCTACCACTTTGTTTTTTCAATCTTAACTTGTTTATCCCTACGGGCACGCTTCTAAAAATGAAAGTCTGCCATCAAAAGCTTATGTTGAGAAACAACACACTCCCCTGGCATCACCTTGCAACCCAAGCATGCTCGTTTGTCCTTTCTTCTTGCCAGGACAAAGTTAATCTGGTTAGAGTGTTGTCCGCTACTGAAGGTCACTAGATGAGATTCTCTCTTTCTAAAGAAAGTGTTGGCTATCATCAGGTCAAAAGCTACCGCGAAGTCCAGAATTTCCTCCCCCTCCTGATTCCTACTACTATACCCAAAACCTCCATGAACTGCCTTGAAACCTATGCTTGTAGTACCTACATGCCCATTAAGATCTCCTATAAAAAGCTTCTCACTATTAGGTACAGCTCTAATCAGGCCATCTAAGTCTTCCCAGAACTGTCTGTTAGCACTATCGTCGAGGCCTACTTGGGGGCATACGCACTAATTACGTTCAAGACCATATCACCAACGACAAGCTTGACTAAGATAATCCAATCTCCTTGCCTTCTCACTCCCACCACACAATTCTTGAGGCTCTTATCAATCAAAACTCCTACTCCATTTCTATTCGCGACTGTCCATGTGTACCAAAGCTTGAAACATGTATTGTCCATCTCCTTCGCCTTCTGACCCTTCCATTTAGTCTCTTGAACATATAATATATTTACACGCCTCCTAGTCGTGGTATCAACTAATTCTCTTAACTTACCTGTAAGCGACCCTACATTCCAACTACCTAAACGGATCCTAGTTGGTTCGACTAGCTTCCTTACCCTTCGCACCCGTAGACTCAGATGTGAAGACCCTTGCTCATTTTTCACTACACCCGGGAGCCGATGTAGCGCGCAACTAAGGAAGCGACGACCCGATCCTTGCTCACTTGACACCATGCCCAGATCGCGACACGACGCGTCACCAAGGGGGTGCTGACGCGGCCCTTGCCCATTTAACACCATACCCGGGTTCCAATATGGCGCGTCGCTAAGAGGGTTACGCCTCAACGGTTTTCTTTCGGGTTTCATCTCCATTAAAATGGCTAGATTTAACGTTGGCTCGCCACGTCTATCACAACCTTCCTCCTTTATAAGGGCTTGTGACCTGCTATGTTGAGACAACATATCTTGGAGAGAAAAATGGTTTTCCTCAATATGCAACCAGCTCTTGAAGAAAGCACGATAGGAGCAAATCAGCAGCATGAGAACCAAGCCAGCACAAGTAAGTTGCTTATTGCAAACTACACCACCGTTTAGACTCTTTTATGTTGTCTTGATGTTCTAGTTTAGCTTTTGAAGTACTAGATGATTACTTACTGCCACTCCACACTCCACACTCCACTTATGTAATTGTTGTCATGTTTCTTACTTGTTACTTGTTGTGCTGCCACTTATGTACTAGATGGTTATTTATTGCCACTCCACACTCCATTTATGTAATGGTTGTCATGTTTCTTGTTACTTGTTGTGCTGCCACTTACCTACTAGATGGTTATTTACGACCACTTCACAATCCACTTATCTAATGGTGATACCTGTGACTTATGTTTTCAGGTGTCACTTCTGAGGTTCCGGCTTCACTAGCCGATGATTTATTTGTCAATACGGAGGACGATCATTATGCCCCTATGGAGGATAAAGTTGTTGAAGCCGTGATTGCCGGAGCCACCAGCCACAAAGATGAGCCAAATGAGCCGTGCATCAACAATGTCTTCATCGGCAAGAACCTCAAGAAAGAAGAACCGGAGAAGGTGTTCAAGGATTGCCTACTGAAGAAATAGACTGTATTCCAGGATACAGACGGGATGGATCTCCAGCTTCATGATTTTGAGCTTTGCGGCTGCAGATTATCCTCGACATCCATTTTGACAGGGAAAGTCATAAAGTAGATCTTAACCCTGGGTTAATCTCCCTTTCTTCCAAAGTAGCAGAAAGTGAGGCGCCTTGCGTGAGCCAGTGCTCGAACGTGAGCGGGCAGCCTGAGCACCCCGGGTAGATGCATATGAAAAGAGTCTTACGTTTAGATGATTATTATTATCACTGGACTTGCAGTCATTGGACACCGCAGTAATTAAGAACTTATCTGCTACGGACGAGTTATTTTAGCGGTTTAGCATGATTTACAAGGGCAATAAGGACCTTATAGCACCTGCCTTTTCTGTCAAATATTCAACTTTATACATGAAACCTGAATGAGTAGCTCGGCTGTCAGATAACTTGAGACAATATCAACTCACAATGATAAGTAAGGGGTACTGGATGCATCCAAGATGAAAACGTCCTCTTTTTTATTTTTTTAGGGAAAAAAGATGGTCAGTTCCAGCAATCAAACATATCAAATCTATGCAACCAATGAATCAGGAAACTTTGGGTCAGAAGATTAAGCCCAATGATTAACATGGCATGGACGTCATACTTGTCCAAGGAGACTTTTCATTTTGTTCCATTCAAGCAGATACAACTCTACAACACTTCCAGTTAGAGAGCAGTGTTTGTATTCCATTCTCCCATAATAAAATATCAAAAAGGCTGATGCAATCACAGTACTCTACTGCCACTTCAACAGTCTAAACAGACACAGACTACGAGTTTTGATAGGAGAAACAGAAAAACAAAGATGCCTTGCACAATAACTCTGACTAATATACGGCTTGTTGTGTATGCCTGGTTACCAGATACAAAAAATTGAGCAAAGCAATTCCACAATGAGGCGCAGGACAGGACATTCAATAAGGCTTGTAGGAATTTGAATTTGTAATATGTTTCAGAGCTATCAATTGGAAGTAAAGAACAAAGCAGAGCCACTCAACAAAAACTGTATATGTAAATTGATGCTTTTAAGGTACTATTTTAGGATTCTTATATGCTATCATTAGGCTGAAGAGAACTCCAAATTTCAGAGAGTAATAGCAGTTTAGTTTCAGTGGTAGTTTGTAACATTTTACTAGAATGGGGAGCTTTTTTATAGGTGAAACCTGGGATAAAGCAAAAGTAGAGACTGTGTTATGACTTGTAAGATATTTGAACTAGGCATATTTCATGTAGAATTGCTAAACAAGGTATGTTGCATCAATAAATTTGCTAATAAGATATATGTAACTTTTTGCTACTTCCTTAAGCAATATAGATGCAGAAACTGCACAGTGGTCATCAAATAACTTTCCAAAGCATACTAGCAAAAGGTTGCAAACCATGGATCATATAGGGAAAAAAACTATTGAAAAAAACTACTTTTACTAATTCTCAACTATCTTTTGGTGGTATTCTTTTATTTGAGTCCTTTACCTTCATAATACTAGCATCCAAAATATGATAGCATCATCAAAAGAATTGATTGACAAGTAATGCTCAAACTACCAAGAAAACATCTGGTAAAAGATTTAACTAGAAACAGAAATATAGAAGTTAACCAAATATTACAAAATTGTCAATACGGTTATCCTGGTCTAGTAACATGCAAACATACATGACACCATTTTCTCACAGATAGCCTTTCTGCAGTTACAGTGAAGTAGAAACATCAGCATATTGAAAACTGCTTCCACAGAAGATATTCCAGCATAGTCAATAGCAAGCACAGACGCTGTCAGGCATCTAACTGGCACAGTAAGTACACTGGATCGCATAGCGCTTGTTTGCTTTCAGTGATGATCCAGGAAAATGGAATGAATCACTTTGTATATCATGAGGATATCTTGCAAATGTCCTCGTATTCGACAGCCCTGAGAACCTTGCCATCATAGAGGCCTTTCTCAACCTGCACTTTTGCACAGAATTTCTCAGTGTCCACTGAGAGCAACCTGGCATTGGACCCCCGATAAGCCCCATTTACAATCCGCACCAGTCCACCAATCTGAGGGATCACGGTCTCAAGCTCATCTTGGTCAACCCTGAGGACATGCTTGCTCTCCAACATCTCAATCTCCCCAACATATTTATCGATAACTTTCTTCACCACTCCTTTCTGCTTGTAGTACCCCTTCTCTGCCAATGACTTGCTCATCACCTTGACCACAATTCCAGGGCACAGCCAGTAGTCCTTCCTATTGCTCCTCTCCTTGGCCTTCTCCTCCTCCTTCATCAGCTCGTCCAATGCTGACCTCCTTGCCTCTGCTGCCTTCACATCCTTTCCCTTCTTCTTGGCCACCTCATCCTTCTCCTTGTCTCGGGTGCCCGAGTCATCCTCCTCCTCATCGAAACCAAATTTCACCTTCGGCTTATCCTCAAAAGGATTAACCTTGGGCCCTGGCACAGCCTTCTGAAGCGCAATTGCAATCTTCCCAGTTGCCTTGCTTGCCTCTTTCGAGCCATCCTCCCGCTCCTCCCCATCATCATCTGAACCTGAATACTCTCCTTCACTGCCGGACTCAGGCTCGCCCTCGGCAGCATCACCATCATCGGGTTTGGCTAAGGACTTGTGCGCACGCTCAATCTGGCGGGCAATCATGCGCTCCTGGCGCTCGTCCTCAGCCATGTCCGACTTGATCCTCTTGCGCTTGAGGCGGTCCTTGACGGCCTGCTCCGAGTCACGGTCGATGTAGGTCATGAACCACCCCTTGGGCGTGTCCTCGACCTTGCAGTACCCCTCGTGCCCGAGGAACTTGACGAACTCGGTGAGCGTGGCCCAGCGCGTGGAGTTCATGTGGACGTGGTGCCGGTCGGCGATGTACTCGTTGTAGACGACGGTGGCGGCGACGCGGGAGTGGCGGTGCGCGCGGCGGATGAGGGAGAGGAAGGACTCGAGGAACTCCTCGGAGAAGCCCTCTACGACGCGGTCGGGCGCCATGCCGAACACCTGCATCTGCCGCTGGTGCGACTCCGACATGCAGTGGCACTTGAACCCGTTCTCGTCGCGGCACTGCTTCTGGCACATCTGGCAGTACCAGCGCAGCTTCTGCAGCCCCTTCGCCTTGATCCGGTTCGCGATCGCCTTCGGCGTCAGGAACTCGTGCTTCCCCATCGCGCGGGAGAGGCCCCTGCCGCACAGGTAGGAGGAGCGGAGATACAAGTAGGAGAAGGAGGGGAGTACGTTGATCCGGAGACGCGAGCCGACGAGGAGTGGATTGTTTATGATGGAGAGCGGCGGCGGCGGCCGGAGAAGAGCGCGGCGGCGGCGAGATCGGGGAGGCCTGAACGGATTGGGGATCGATTGGAGGGGCCAGGGCTTTGTTTGGACTTTGGAGAGTCGGTTGCCTGTACCACAAACGAACGGTCCGGACCGCAGCTACGACAAATCAACGGATGAGATCTTGCCACCACGATTTTTCAACCCACCACGTGTTAACTTGTGAAGGGCGTCTCCCGCTAGCTAGACTAGTCCCCTTCCTCCCCCAATCTCGCATCGTCCACCAAAGCAAACCCTACCAGCCCGCGCCTGCGCCGCCGCCGCCGCCGCCATGGACTCGATCGACGCGGATCTCGCGCGCACGCAGGAGGAGCGGCGCAAGATGGAGGAGGCGCTGGCGACCGGCGCCCCCATGGCCGTGTCCTCCGTCACCTTCGACACCGACCTCTACGGCGGCGGGGGCGCCGACCCGAACCGCTTCGCGGGCTACGACACCTCCATCCCGGCCTCCGAGGACGACGCCGCGGAGGACGACACGGAGGCCGCCAACCCGGCGCCGCGCCGCCTCGCGACGTACACGGGCCACGCCATCGCCGCCGCCGACATCCCGCGGTCGGGTGACGGCGACGACGGGCTGCCCAAGAGGTCCCAGCGCATCATCGACCGCGAGGACGACTACCGCCGCCGCCGCCTTAACCAGATCATCTCGCCGGAGCGCCATGATCCGTTCGCTGCGGGGGAGGCCACCCCGGACCCCTCGGTGCGGACGTACGCCGACGTCATGCGCGACGCGGCGCTGCAGAAGAAGAAGGAGGACCTGTTGAGGGAGATTGCCAAGAAGAAGAAGGAAGAGGAGGAGAAGGAGAAGGAGAGGAAGGCTGCCGCGCCTGAGCAGCCGGCAGCCACGACGAAGCGGCGCAACAGGTGGGATCAGTCGCAGGATGGCGATGCTGCTGCTGGTGCCAAGAAGGTGAAGACATCCTCGGACTGGGATGCCCCTGATGCGACTCCTGGGATTGGGCGTTGGGATGCCACCCCTGGACGTGTTGGAGACGCCACACCCTCAGTGAGAAGGAACAGATGGGATGAGACACCGACTCCAGGGAGGATGGCTGATGCTGATGCGACGCCTGCAGCTGGTGGTGCCACCCCTGGGGCTACTCCTTCTGGGGCTTGGGATGCGACTCCAAAGCTACCTGGTGGTGTCACGCCAACCCCTGGTAAGAAGCAGAGATCAAGGTGGGATGAGACGCCAGCGAGTATGGGAAGTGCAACCCCTGGTGGTCTTGGTGCTGCAACACCTGCTGGTTATACTCCTGGTCCGACGCCATTTGGTGCAGAGAACCTTGCCACACCAACTCCTAGCCAGATTGCTCGTGGACCGATTACTCCGGAGCAGTACCAGCTTATGCGGTGGGAGCGGGACATTGAGGAAAGGAACAGGCCTCTCACCGACGAGGAGCTAGATGCCATGTTCCCGCAGGAGGGGTACAAGATTCTTGAGCCCCCGGCTTCCTACCAGCCCATCAGGACCCCAGCAAGGAAGCTCCTTGCGACACCAACACCTCTGGGGACACCACTTTATGCAATTCCAGAGGAGAATCGTGGGCAGCAATTTGATGTGCCCAAGGAGCTGCCTGGTGGATTACCGCTCATGAAGCCAGAGGATTACCAGTACTTTGGAACTTTGCTGAATGATGAAGAGGAGGAGCAGCTATCACCAGAGGAGCAGAAGGAGAGGAAAATCATGAAACTGCTACTCAAAGTGAAGAATGGCACACCCCCACAGCGTAAAACAGCACTTCGGCAACTGACAGACAAAGCCCGGGAATTTGGTGCTGGACCATTGTTCAACAAAATCCTGCCCTTACTCATGCAGCCAACACTGGAGGACCAGGAGAGGCATCTTCTGGTGAAGGTCATCGATAGGGTACTGTATAAGCTGGATGAGCTGGTCCGTCCTTTTGTGCACAAGATTCTTGTGGTTATTGAGCCACTGTTGATTGATGAGGACTACTATGCTCGTGTTGAAGGCAGGGAGATCATCTCAAACCTTAGCAAAGCAGCTGGGCTTGCTACTATGATTGCTGCCATGCGACCGGACATTGATAACATTGATGAGTATGTGAGAAACACGACTGCTAGGGCGTTCAGTGTGGTGGCTTCTGCTTTGGGCATCCCTGCGCTTTTACCATTCTTGAAGGCTGTCTGTCAGAGTAAGAAGTCGTGGCAGGCTAGGCACACTGGTATCAAAATTGTTCAGCAGATTGCTATTCTCATGGGCTGTGCTGTTTTGCCACATCTCAAGTCACTAGTTGAGATCATTGAGCATGGTTTGAGCGATGAAAATCAGAAAGTCCGGACAATTACTGCCCTCTCTCTTGCTGCACTCGCTGAGGCTGCTGCACCATATGGTATTGAAAGTTTTGATACTGTGTTGAAGCCTTTGTGGAAGGGTATCAGATCTCACCGCGGGAAGGTCCTTGCTGCCTTCCTGAAGGCTATTGGTTTCATCATCCCTCTTATGGATGCTCTGTATGCTAGTTACTACACAAAGGAGGTGATGCAGGTCCTCATTAGGGAGTTCCAGTCTCCAGATGAAGAAATGAAGAAGATTGTCCTCAAGGTTGTGAAACAGTGTGTCAGTACAGAGGGTGTGGAGGCTGATTATATCCGGAATGACATCCTTCCAGATTTCTTCAAGCACTTCTGGGTGAGGAGAATGGCTCTAGATCGGAGGAACTATAAGCAGCTTGTGGAAACTACAGTGGAGATGGCAAACAAGGTTGGAGTTGCTGATATCGTTGGGAGGATTGTTGAGGATCTGAAAGATGAGAGCGAGCCTTACAGAAGAATGGTGATGGAAACAATTGAGAAGGTGGTGGCCAACTTGGGTGCTTCAGATATTGATGCTCGTCTGGAGGAGCTGCTTATTGATGGTATCTTGTATGCTTTCCAAGAGCAGACTAGTGATGATGCAAATGTTATGCTTAATGGTTTTGGAGCTGTGGTTAATGCACTTGTACAGAGAGTTAAGCCTTACCTTCCTCAGATTTGTGGTACCATCAAGTGGCGATTGAACAACAAGAGTGCAAAAGTTAGGCAGCAAGCTGCTGATCTGATCTCCAGGATTGCCATTGTCATGAAGCAGTGCCAGGAGGAGCAGCTTATGGGTCACTTGGGTGTTGTGCTGTATGAGTACTTAGGAGAGGAGTATCCTGAGGTGCTGGGTTCAATTCTTGGAGCCTTGAAGGCTATTGTCAATGTCATTGGTATGACTAAAATGACTCCTCCAATCAAGGATCTTCTTCCTCGTCTGACACCCATCTTGAAGAACAGGCATGAGAAGGTCCAAGAGAACTGCATTGATCTTGTTGGTAGGATTGCTGATCGTGGAGCAGAATTTGTGCCAGCAAGGGAGTGGATGAGGATTTGTTTTGAGCTGCTCGAAATGTTGAAGGCTCATAAGAAGGGTATTAGGAGAGCCACTGTGAACACATTTGGTTATATTGCAAAGGCTATAGGGCCACAGGACGTGTTGGCCACCCTGTTGAATAACTTGAAGGTGCAGGAGCGACAGAACCGTGTTTGCACAACTGTAGCAATTGCCATAGTTGCTGAAACTTGCTCTCCTTTCACAGTTTTGCCTGCCCTTATGAATGAGTACCGGGTCCCAGAGCTCAATGTCCAAAATGGTGTTCTGAAGTCACTCTCTTTCCTCTTTGAGTATATTGGTGAGATGGGCAAAGATTACATATATGCTGTCACTCCCTTACTTGAAGATGCTTTAATGGATAGAGATCTGGTTCACCGGCAGACTGCTGCATCTGCTGTTAAGCACATGGCTCTAGGCGTTGCTGGCTTGGGTTGTGAGGATGCTCTTGTTCATCTGCTTAACTATGTTTGGCCCAACATATTTGAGACTTCTCCCCACGTTATAAATGCTGTGATGGAGGCAATTGAGGGGATGAGGGTCGCGCTTGGTGCAGCTGTGATTTTGAATTATTGCCTGCAAGGTCTCTTCCATCCAGCAAGGAAAGTACGTGAAGTGTATTGGAAGATATACAACTCTCTGTACATTGGTGCACAGGATGCACTTGTTGCTTCTTATCCTGCCTTGGAAGACGATGGGGATAACATCTTTAGCCGTCCAGAGCTGGCAATGTTTGTCTGATTAACGTAAGTCTTGCTTACTCCCAAATTCTGTACAATTATTTATATTAAAAGATCTGTTCTGAGTTCTTTTTCTGTATTGTTACATCATTCGGCTCAAATATATTTGCATAAATAGTTTCTGTATTCTAGTAACCAACCTCATGTTATGGTTTTAGTTTGCTGCTATGCTTTTAAGTGATTTATTATTCTTTAATGAATATATATTTATACAAAAGAAGTAGATTTTTTTAATTTAGATATGCTTGTCTGGTTCATGTTCAATCTTTATGTAAACTGCTACTGCTATTCTTATTGTTAGTCTGCATAAACTATTTAGGTCAACTGAATATGCCAGCTATTTAAAAGTTCTGTTACAATATTCCAACATGTGTACAGGTGCATGTTGAATTAAAGATCTACATCTAGTTAAACTGAAATTATTTCCAGGGTTTAGTACTACAGAGATGGATTGATCAATAAAATGCTAAATGTGTTTATCTGTTTTCCAGTTGTGTGTTTCCATTAGTGTTGCCTGTTGTTCGTGAGCAGATGAGCAGAATCTAGATGACCTCGGTCTTTTTTCTGAGTGTGTTGGAGTATTTTTCCTGCTGTGTGCTACATTGCGTTGTATGCTGTGTGTGCTTCCCTTCTAAACTATCCTTTTTTTTAGTACCAAAGCAGTTAGTAAGCTTTTCGGCTAGAGTCAATGTCGCTGCCACCGGTGGAGCTCATAACCAGAGATCAAGCTTTTGAGCTGTCTTCAGTTATTGAAGATGGCACGGTGGTGCACAGGAGATTATGTGTCTCTTGTTCCTAGATCGATGGGAATATCAGAGAGCATAGGTTCAATTTTCCATTAGTTAGTTTCATCAATCGGCAAGCTGCAGATCCAGGTCAAGCTTTTGTTCCTTCGTAGGCATATTTGTGCATCACAAGAATAAATAGCTCAGTTCAGATTTGGCAAGCCATATATATAGAATAGTATAGTTTTGCTCATCACTAGTAACCTAGGCAGCACCCCTGCACTAGTAGCAGCTCTTCTGAGGCAAGTATGTCAGGAAAACAGAGCTTATTATGAAATAGAAAACAAAACAATGCCATTAGAGTAACCTTGCCTCTTACCTTGACATTAGCACATCACTTTTGTGCGTTGCTTCATGACTGAATGCAACATCTGCCATTGTTCATGTGCTCTGCAGATTTTGGATCAATCCAATCTAGCATGATTTACATGCAGTAAATCATAAAACTGCCTGCTATTGTGATTAGTACTAGTAGTCCATTCTGTTTACTGCTTCCCTATATACAAATTAAGTGCATAGTTAAAGTAAGTAACGTGATAAGGTCATCCACACATTCGTTTTCAGCTTGCATCTGTATGTTTCAGTTCAGCATTTTAGCATGAGCTGTGTGAATGTTTTGTATCATCAACTTGTGACCAACCTAAACGCTAAACGGTACATGTTCGGCAAGGCCTCGTGTAGCGTTTAGAGCGTGTACACGGATTACACATTTTTGTACTATATATTTGTAAAAATTAACTATATTAACACATGTATTTAATTATATATTGATATATTACAGCATAAAGAATACAGAAATTACATAACAACTGTTAATCCAAATTTGCAGCTAGCAACTTCCAATCAAGCTGCCACAAATAAAAACTAGTAGACGATTAAATGTAATTGATGTAGTCTATTACTGCATCTGGCTCTATTATCATAAACTTAACAGGTTAACATCATAGTTGATATAGTTCTCACAAATGACAAATGGTTGAATGGCACAGTCACACTCACACATAGTTCTTGGTTCAGTTCCCACACGCATAGCATCATATCTGTATACTTGCTACATTGATGTTTTAGACTTTCAGAGCTAAGAACCTAAGTGCCACAGGAAACAATCTAAGTGTGTAACACTTATACACATGGACACACCTAACATGAATTAAGTTATTTAAAAAATGAATTAAAAAGTGATTTAAAAATACAGAATTTTGTACTAGCAGACAAAGCAATTGGAACTCTCTAGCTCTATTCTTCACAATAACACGCATTGATGTCTAGAGAGAACAGAGCACTAGCACTAGTAGGCACGTGCTGGAGCAAAGCAGATATCAGAGGGAGTGTTACCTGGAGCACTTGACCTGTTGTTGGCTTGCTAGATCTCAACCGGAGTAGGAGAGATGTGTCAGAGACAAAGAGGAGCTCGACCTGGAGCAGCCGAGCAAGAGAGGAGCTCAACCTGGAGCACTGGTCGTTGACAACTTGATGCTGAGCCGTGCTGGAGTGGTGAGGTGCGGAGGTGCCTACGCCGCAATGCATGGTAGCCAGAGAAGACTACGATTTCATGGTCAGAGATTGCCGGAACCTAGAAATCAGAGCGGACAGAGACTTGTTGGCGGACACTAGAAGTGAGGGACGGCAAGTCGGCAACAATGGACAGAGAATGAGGGGTGCCAGAAGACCAGGGATGTGGCGGCGGCGGCGGATAGAGTGTCTGTGTGTGCGACAGGATTTCGAAATTGAGGCGGCGGCGAATGGATTTGCGAATAGAAAAGACCAAATGCATGACATGGTTATGCCCCCAGGCATAGGCTGATGCGCCGGAGACTAGGCCTGAAAAGTTCTTTCTCCTGCCTGAAAGCTGTTATCGCGTAAACGTCATGCTACTCGCTGAACTCGTCGTGCAAAACCGTTCTGTGGACGAGCCATGTCAGCCGTCCAGACCGTTTTTGGCTGTTTACACTGCACACCAGGCTGCCGAGTAACGTTTACACGCCGAGTAATCGGTCTCGTGTAGGCGAACACTGTTCTTGACCATAAAAAAATCATGTATTTGAGGAAGGTATTCATTTATGTTCCGTTCTGTGGGAGACTGGGAGATGTAGCTATTTTCATCATATATTTGTTGGCTATAAGGAACAAAACTAGATATTTATGGTCTTTTTTGGAGAAGGGATAAATTGATATATGATACTGTTTTTTATTTGTGAAGATCAATACCAAATTTAGTACTGGCGTAGATCTGGCTCTTTTTGATTGCCTAATGTCTTGTTCTGATCAAGATACTTTGCCAGTAGTTCCAGTTGCTTTGGACTTGAAAAAATTGTGGTTCATGATAGTAGAGTTTGTCTGATCAATATCCATCGTTTCACCTGTATGCTTGTGAAATGCCCCTTTTGGTTGATTTCTAGTGTGAAAACAGTTCTTTGTCAATATTTGGTTCTGGCCCTTGAGAGTCCAAAGGAAGTGAATAATGAAGAAGTGGGCAGTGGGCACAAGTATTTTGCATTGTCAAACCATGCAACTATTGTAATAGCCCATTGTCAATGGAGAGAACTATCGTAATATACAACTTCATGCTGTGTATGCTGTTAGACCTTGTGGTGACTATTGTTGTGAGGACTTGAACACTGATAGCAATTTTGGCCCAGCTATACGCATCATTCATTTTTTCTTTGGACCCAACGTCAAGGCTGTCTAGATATTTGCATCACTAACACACTTGTGGCGCTTGACTGTTGTGTCAGCAAGTTGGGCACTTGTTACCATTTGAGCATGCATTATCAAGTATTAGTTGATTTGTATTGTGTTTATTTTGCTTTTTTTCCTGTTTGTTCTCTGCAAAGGAAGAATCTAATATGCAAACGCATTGACAGGCTGGATGTACATGTCCATGTATCTTCATCCATATTCTTGTGAAGCTTGAACTGGGTAGTATTTGAGTTAAGCTTGTATTTAAGTTACTTGGTTACCCTCTTGTGATGCATGTAATTGAAGCTGCATCTGTTTTTGTATTTGCAGGATTGTTCCTTCTGAAGGGGGTGCAATGTTTAGGGATTTTTTTTTATGGTTTACTGTAATGCAACTCTAAATTACTATCATAATCTGATCTACTGACCATTTAGGAATTGTTTTGTTTTCAGGATACTTTGTGTTCAAACTGCTGAAGAGTTGCACCAGATTTAGGACCAGACGCAAGACTGCAGCATGCTTAGTTTACTGCCAAGTACCTGTTGATTAATCTATCATGATCCTATATTTTGAAGGAGAAATGACAGTCCTAGCGTGATGTCATTTTTTTTATGAGTATTAGACGTTGGGCAGTTCTTAAACTTTGTATTAGCCATGGATGTTATATAATGTGGTGTGGAGTGTGGACAATGGAGATTGCAAAGCTCCTGTGATTCCTCGCTGTATTCATGAGGGCTCGCACATCTGTCTATTATAATAACCGGAAAAGTTACTTGGCATGTTTGGTTTCTTATTCCTGAGTTGTTTGCTTATTTCTGACACCTCTTGTATGAGAAGGGAGTAACCCCTTCCTTCAGCAGATTAGCACCTCTCTGAGCTCGTCGATTTTGTTGCTATTGTGCCTGCTTTTACAATATCTTATTGTTTCAGTACAAAATTGAATTGGGTGGGAATTAGGTCCTTTTTGGCATAGCTTTTTCAATTTATTTTAGGAGCTCGTTAAAATCTGCTCTTACAGGGTGGAGTGAGTGAGTATTTGATGAAGCTGAAAATATGAGAAGCTGTTTTATCATTTTTCATTTTTTTTCCATAAAATAGCTTTAGTTTCATTAGTAGAGCTGCTTATGGAGCTGAAGTTCAAAAAACATGGTGATGACAGACGATAGTTTGAAGCAAAAAAACACGGCTCTAATCCGACAGACAACAAGAGTATGTAATGTGCACAACAAATTAGTAAGAAAAATTATAAACCTCTACCTAGTACCATTTTAAATTATAAGATATTTTGATTTTTTAAGATATATTATTTTTGTTATATATTTAGACATAGGTCCCGTTTGCGTGATCTTAAACCCGGCTTAATTCGCTTATTTTTTTCATTCGGAATAGCGTTTTTCTCTCACAAATTCCTCGAGCATTCCTCCAAACCATCCAGATTCTTCCAGAATTCAGACAAGCGAACAAGCCCATAGTGTATATTTAAACGTCTTATAATTTGAAATTGGTGGACTACTTATGAAATAGATTTAGAAATCTCTTCTCGTTCAAATTAACAATAATGCAAGCTTGAAGTACAATTTCTGAATTTGTATGCATAATCGCAAACAAAAATCAATGTACCATGTACACGGTACTGGTAGATTGGATGTACAGAATGCTGAAACCACATTTCCTGGCGAGCCATGATCGAGACGCGTTGGCCAGTCGGCAGTCGTTCACCAACTTTGACCGCGCCCACTACTATCTCACCGCATCAACCCCCACGCGCCCGGCACCCGCACCCGCACCAGACCGGACCAAACCCACCCGCCCGACGCACGCGTTGGCGTAACGGGACGACCAAGCCCCGCCGCCTGCCTGCCCATGGCCGGGTTCGCGCGCGCCACCGCCTCCACGCCCATGTCGCCGGCGGCGGCGGGCCCGCCGTTGCTCACCGGCGAGCGCCTCGTAGTCTTCCTCTTCGCGGCCCGCGTGGCGCTCGCGGCACCGGCGCACCTCGCCGCGCCGCTCGCGATCCTCGTGGCGGCCGCCCTCGCCGTCGAGCTCGCCGTGGACGGCTCCGCCCCGCTCCGCCGCTTCCGGACCAGGTGCGGGCGGGCAGGCTGCGCCCCTCCCCTCTCCCTCTCTCGTTCGTGCTGTCTCTCTCCTGCATCGCCGTTCAATTGGGCCGGATGTCTCCGGGATTCGGTTTCTGTGGGCGTCCTATTGCGCGGTGTAAATTGGAGTGAAGCCATAGTTCGGTTCCCCAACCAAAGGCTAGGGCTAGGTGTCTAGGAGCTCCATTTTAAGTGGACGGGAGTGAAGTCTCCTGCAAACAGCTGATTCCTGAAGGCTCATTCCTGCGAGTGATGATCAAATTCAGGCTGCTTCATCGTGTGGGCTGCAATGCATGCTTTAAAATTAGGAAACAAGTATTGCATTACTAGATGCACTGGAGATTGACCTGCAGGCATAAGGGCTGACTCCGTATCTAGTCGGGTTGTTGGCTTTAACATACAGTTGAAATGTATGTGGTTCAGCTCCATGGCACAGAAATGTGGTTTACATGTGCTTTAGTGTATAACAACAATTCAGTTGACAGGAATGTGAAGGTTAGGCTTAGGTTTTTTTCAGATTAATTGGGATTCTGTGATGTCCAAGACCACTTGCATGCTCTCTTGAGGCTACACCGCATGTACTCTGTAGTCACTAAACTATTAGTTCGCCTCTTGTGGTGTATGCTCGCTATATGTAGTAAATACTGGACAAATGCTCTTATCTGTGCTTCTAGCAAGACAAATAAAAAAAGGAAAGGCATTACAATGATGTATTGCGTGCTACAGGCCAGGTGCTTCATCAGGCATACTTCTTGGCGCCACTACTCTGCCCAGCGTCATGCTTTCTCGGTTAATTCAACTGTCGAGGCTCTTACCAACTGATCCTAATGGACCTAAAGGTGTGTTTCTAATTTGTTGTCTTGGTCGTGTTGGCTATTAAATGGAGATCTGCCTCAATTCCACATTCAAATTTAACAATTCAAAGGGTTTCTAAGGTGCATCTGTCATCTATTCAGTTGCCATGGACACAATTTGCTAATTATATTATGTTTCCATTTCCAGAATTTGCATACCTGGAAATGCAGTACTGGGCAGCATCAATCAGCTGTCTCAGTGTGCTAGCTTTATTCCTTTGGCATCTACGGAAGTCTCCCAGCAATGGAATTTCTAAACATTTGGAGTACGGCTCATTGTTGATAGTTTTATATCTCATGACATTCTTTTTGTCCTTTCTACTGAAGACTGATGGAGGTAACACGCATGTGTAATCCACATTCAAATGTAATTTAAGTCCAGCATAACCATGGAAGTTGTCAAACCCTCAAACTGACCTATGTGCTGGATTTATTGTAGGCCTGATGGTAATGACCAGTATGGTGTATATGCTCTGTCATGGAGTGGCTGGTGTGATCTTAATCAAGCATATTCTAGAGAAGTTCCCCTCATGCTCATCTTTTGGTCTGTAACTAAAGTCTAAGATGTAACTAGATCTTTATTTCTCTTCTTTTTCATTATGTCTGGTTTCATATGCTAATAGAAATTCATATATTTATTTATCTTATAAACAAGTCTAGTCTCTTGTGGTCCTCTGTTGTTTCTGTAATCTATCAGCATATTTCTCATTTACCTTCTCCTGGACTTATTCGCCCTCCTCATTTATCTAAACTTTTGCATATTTCAGGGGAGGCGCTTCTGGTGTCAAGTGGTCTTATTCTCTACTTTGGTGATATGTTGGCACATACACTTTCAAAGGTATGATTTATTTGTTCTAGAAAAAAAAAGGTATGATTTGTTCTAGCAGCTAGTGGTGAAGATGATTATTTATTTACTTAATTATTTTGCCTTGCATTTGTGATGGAAGATGGAGTTCTCCGTGTCATCAAAAGCATTCATTCGCACACCTAGAACTAGAAGTGATATGACCGCAATTATTCAGGTAGAGTTGCTTTTGATTGTGTGGCATGAGTTTCATTGCACATTTATGCTTACTTGCTTTCATTTTGGCAGGGGATTTTACTTGTCCTTTTTCTACTTCCATTATTATACAAGAGTTCTCTTCAAGTTTGGTATTCATGTAGAATGAAGGGAAAGCAACAAACACAAGCAGCTGAGGAACATACGCGAAAAAGAATTGGTTCTGCTGTATTCTATATCTCATTGTTGGTGGTGTTAATGTTTTTACTGCCATCATGGACACACCTTGTCCAAGGCCTCAAAGTGCATCCTTTTGTCTGGTAAGCATCTCAGTTCACCTTTTCACGAGAAGAGCCTAGAAGGCATGCAAATGACCATGCGCCTGTTAGTCAATACACATCATTTTTTTGACACCCTTAAATTGAATAGCCCCTCTGTGCTTAAATATAGTTGTTTGGTTATTGGGACTCCTCATTTCAAAATATATTGTCTATGATATAACTGATAGCAAAGTTATTCTGTTCATCTTATACCTGCACTATTACTGTTTTGTGGTTGATAGACATAATTTAACAGGGACTCCTTGGTCTATGTGAATAGGCTAGCTGGAGAACATTTTTGGAATGGACTATTTACACTTTGTGAGATGTTATTGCTTCTAAAATCTTTTAAGACGTTGACTTATGTTTGCTTAATGCTTCATTATTTCACAGGATTCTTAACTATATGTTCACTGATTCACATGAACGACTTGCTTTATGTGCATACTGGATATGTGTAATATATGTATCGGTTAGAAGGTTCTACAGTATATCAAAGCAAAGCAAGACAGAGAGGATTCTTTTGCGCAAGTATTATCATCTCGTCGCTGTTCTCATTTTCTCTCCTGCAGTTATATTTCAGGTTGTTTGTGCGTTTTTAGGTTTGATTTCCACCAGTCCTAAAAGAAGGTTCAATTTCCATCAGAATTATTAAGTATTTTGGTCTGGGAAACTGTTCATGTTTTGCAGCCTGCTTTCTTGGACTTGGCATTTGGTGCAGCATTTGCAGTTTTCTTGGTATTGGAGATGATACGAGTAAGAGACCTATTCTTCTGTCTTCCCAAGTTATTTTCACTCATTTAATTTGAGTAACCCGCCCCTCATTTGCTCCCACAAAATGTTTAACCATGCCTCAGATTTGGGAAATATACCCTCTTGGACATCTTGTGCATCAGTTTATGAACGCCTTTACTGATCATCGTGATTCTGAGATTCTTATTGTCAGGTAGGTGTGCTTCAATAGGCTTCATTTTCCTCATCTCATATCTTACCTCTTGTCACGTTCTGCGGTTGAAAACCTTATATTATTGGTGTGTTCAGCCATTTTTCACTCTTACTGGGCTGTGCACTTCCCAAATGGATGTCATCTGGATTAAATGATCGACCACTTGCCCCTTTTGCTGGAATTCTCAGCTTGGGGATAGGTGATACCATGGTAAGTTCTGTGTCTAATCTGTGTGATCCGTTAATTACTATCTTTGATTTGACCCATATGATGAATTTTCTTTGTTTTCTTTTGCCTAGGCATCAATGATAGGGTACAAGTATGGTGTGTTAAGATGGAGCAAGACAGGAAGTGAGTCAAGTTTGTTATGTGTTATGCCCTTCTATTCCTTGATCTCTGAACTCTTATACTTTCATCTTCTCTGAAATGTTAGAGAAAACAATCGAAGGCACGGCAGCGGGCATAACCTCGATGCTAGCAGCCTGCTCGATCCTGGTGTCACTCTTAGCTTCCAGTGGGTACATTCTTTCGCAGGTCCGATCTCGTTCTCGCTTTTAAGCTAGCTACTGACAGCAAAACCAACAAAGCAAGCTTAACATAACATCTTGCTGACCATATTTTCCTTTCTGACACAGAATTGGTTATCACTTCTGATAGCTGTCACATTGAGTGGATTGTTGGAGGCATACACTGCACAGCTGGACAATGCCTTCATCCCCCTCGTGTTCTATAGTCTTCTATGTCTATAGGAGTAGCCTTCTGTACATCAAACTGACCTTGAGGTCCTCTTTTTGTTTACACTTTAGTAGTATATATAGTGCAAATGTGTTATTATTTCTACATTAGTCACTTGGTATCCTAGGTGCATCAACTGCCTGATGATTCAGTTCAACAGATCACATTCTCTGTAACCCTGCCTTCGGAAGTTGAGACAGTCGGTATAGGCATAGGAACAGAAGTAGAAGAACATGAAATGTTCTCCAGTCGTACAGTCGAGGGCATTTCTGGCAGAGCTGGGCAGTTGGGTGTACATAAAGTCTTATCTGAACCTGTCGTTGATGAACGAATATACATACATGCTGTGATGCTGATCAATTTGATCACTCGGAGCTTGTTGTGTATCTTAATTGAAAGACAGGGCTCCTGCTATCTCTTTAAAAAAACAAAAAAAAATCCTATGAAGTTCAGTAGCACGTTCAGATCACGTAAGGGCAAACTTTAAGGCCCTGTATGGTTCCAACGAATTGATAGAAATTAGAAAGTAACCAATAATGAAATGGGAAGCATCTTTTAGATATTGGTTTCAATTTATGGGAACCAAACACACTATAAGAGGCTTTAAAACTTTAGAGAGCCATTGAATAAATATTTTCTTTATATATCTCTGGTGCCTCCAACGGACATGAATTTTTTTTTGTTCTCTATACTCTATATCTATACCTAATACTAAAGAGGTAAAAAAAATTGTCGGTTTTTCTTTCATCCAGCCCTGCCCAGTCACCGACTCGGTCACGTTTCTTTTCTATTTTCACGGTTGCGTTAATATTGCAAAAGGAGAATTAGAAGTGGGGAAGAGAATAGAAACAAATACGGGGTTCCAGATGTAAAGATGCCAAATATAAAGAATTACACTATACAGTCGTTTGCTAAAACACTATGTGCATCATGTTTATATGATAGTGTATGAATTATAGAGTGTAAATCGATTTCTGTGGCTCGAAGCATTCTTCGGAAACGCGAAACGAATGTTATATTTCATGTCGCGTTTTGTCACTTAGGGTTCTAAATGAATTTTTATTGAACGAGAATGCTATAGAACGCATATACGAAACTTTAATAAAGTTTGTAGTACAAACTTCGTAGGTGGCGATGAAATACTTGCGGTCGAGAACGGGGTTCGCTAGATAACTCACTTAATAGCTTGAAAATCGCATTCGACGCGAAACCGTTTAAGATTTAGCCGAAATTCCTAAGTCGGACAACGCTTTGAAGAAGCTAGGTTTGGGAATTTTTGTAGGCGGATTGGATTAAGTAGTGTAATTTCATGGTTGGTTTTAGTAGTTGGACATACTATCTCGAACGTAAAATAGGTGGTGTAGCTACTGGATCATCGAGTTGGATTTTTAAGCAGCTTTAAAAAGCGTGCAAGTCACGTTTTTTTGAAAGGTTGCCATCACGGTCATCACCGTGACTTGGTCGGGCGTTGCCGCCAAAGAAGATGCACGCAGCGCATTATTGCGCATTGCCGCCCGCCAGGCGCACCACCGTTGTCGCGCTACAGCACGCACGCGACTCAAGACGCACCGCGCACACGCCGCACGCCGGTCCAGCCGAGCTTCGGTTGCTCTACCCGCCGTCGCGTTTGCTCGAAACACACGCTTGCTTTCGCCGTCGCGTCGAAGCTGCGCCCGATCATCTTTGCGCTCCGACCACCGCCGCCGTCCGGCCATCGTTGTCGTTGACTCTTCACGGTTGCTGCAGCGGGGGCTGCCCGCCGCTTTTGCCATCACGTCCGCGTTAAATGCGTCCACGCGCTATTGCCTCCTCGGACCGCCGTCAGCCTCTGCGGCGCGCAGTACTGAGCCGCCGTTGCCTTGCGAGTCGTGGCGCTACGGTCGCACGTCGTCGTGCCGGACTCGTACGCGCATGTGGAGCCATCACCGTCGCGCTACCATCCTCTCCCAATTAGTAATTGCGCCACGCCAAGCCCTCGCCTTCAATGGCGTCGCGCCGACCAAGCTGCGCCAAGGCAAAACCCACAGAGCTGGCCCCATCCTTATAATTGTGCACGTCTGGAGGTCGAGTTGGAGTCTAGCTTCGTGCCAAGCTTGCTACTGTTGCGGTCGTACGGTGTCGGGGCTTCAATTGGAGTTTCCCCCCGCCGTCGACCCCCTTAAGTCCGAACGTCGTTGTCCATCTAATTAGCCTTGTGTAGTCCACCTCCTTTCAATTAACCGTGCACCCAACTAGCCCTATTAGTTAGCCAGCGATTGGAGTCGTCCCGACGAGCTTTCATCCTCCAGTGAGGTAATGCGGGGCATTCTCCTCACGACGATCCGCCATGGCTGCCGAGGCGGGTGCTCGGCTAGCGCGGCACTCCGTGCTCCGTTATTTAAATTGAGCGGTGCCTTTGCGTCGTGTTGACTTGGTTGCCTCGCCCGTGTAACAGTTTCGCCAGTGTTGCAGCAGGTCACCGGGGACGCCGTCGTCATGCTTGCCGTGAACCAAAATGACCTCGCGCTCGTTGCCAACCACCCTACCGAGTCCCACAACTTCGTTCAGGTCGTCCTTCGCGTATCTGGTGAGGCACCTTCGCTCCTAGAGTAGTGGTAGAGGCGTTGGGCTAGGTTAATTCGCTGGCGTCGGCGTCACCGCGGCCAAACCCCGTCGTGGTGCGTGGCCACGCCTCTATGCAGCACCAATCGTGGTGTTTATTACCTCTATCGAATGCGCTTGTGATGAGGATTGTCGCAGTGGTGAGGATTGCTGCCGAGGGGGTCCGTGCTCGCCGTCGTTTGGTCAGAGATGCCGTGGCCTCTGTTAAGTTCTGGCTAGGGACCTCGAAACAAGAATTCGCAGTGAACGGGGGGGTTAAGTGCGAGCGTCAGAGAGAGTGAAATAGTCGAAAGGACTGCGGGTTCATCCAGTTGAAATCTGGGGTCTCTTTTGCATAATCACCGGCGCGCGCGTGGGTCTCCCCATGTTGGGCCACGGTCGCGAGTGGGCCGCGCCGGTGTGCTGCGCATGCACGCGCGCGGGGCGCTGGAGTGGGCCGAGCCGCTCGCTCGCGGGCTGCGTCGAGGAAATTGGTTTTTCATTTTCCAGTGACTTAACAAATATTTATTCAATTTAGTTTTGAGCTGAACTTTGAAAAATGATAGTAAATGTTGTAGGTATCAAATTATAGTGAAACAAAATTTGTTAAGTTCACAAAAATGCTATTTATCTGTTGGTGTAGTTAGTTTACAGTTAGCTATGATAATGATAGGTTCATAAATTCAATTTAGAAAGCTTAGTATTATGTAGCTTAATATTTGTAGGAATTTGTGTGGCAAATTGATGATAGCTTTAGCCATAAAATTTTTACAGTAGGTATATTAGATTATTATGTATTCACTGTAATTTTTGTAGCCCTAGAGTAGGTTGATAAATAGAGTAGCTAGTATTCCTCGTTTTATCATATAGAGTAAATCGGTATTAAGACTAAAAATACCTTTAGTTGCGAAGATAATATATGTCATGCGGCATACTTGTTAGTGTTAACAGTAGATAACTTAGCACCTTAGTCGGTAGAACTCGCTTAGTAGCTTGATAGATATATTTTTATTTTAAGAGTTGTTGTTGTCGTATTACTAAGTGTTGCATCATCATTTTATGCATATAGATCACGAGTTGATAGAGTTCGTGTCCGTGGACGAACATGACTACGAGGAGGTCATTGAGGAGTACGGGGAGGAGATCCTCATGCGGGAGGGAGCCCAAAGCCTTTTGGTGCTGACTTTGTTGACCCACTGCCTGCCCAAGGCAAGCCCCGGTGCATAACTCATATTTTTAATGATCACTGAATATATATATATATATGATGTGCATTTACGTTACAGACATTTTATGGAAACTACCTGCATAAATATGTTTACCTATGAGTCCTACTAGTACAGGTCGAGTAGCTGCTATGCTCAGGATTTCGGTAGCACGAGTAACATGTCGTTATTCGCAATAGGTGATAATTATGATCACTCATAATAAAGTGGTGGAAAGGAAAATGGTGACTGGAAGGGATATGGTTTGGGTATTGGTGGATGTAAGAGGTTGTGTCCTGCGGCCAACAGGGCATAGCTTGGTTACACTTTTTTCCTGTCTATGTCGGTTAAGGACCGGCCGTTGCATTGAGCTCTAGACAAGTCACAGATTTATTATCCCGAGCACATACTTGGGTATTGGCGCATGGAAGACTTGTTGCTCTCTTGTTGTGGGTTTTGGCTCTTTCTGGACCGACTGATTGGAGGTAGGGATGGTGGATGTCCTTGCACCGCACTAAGTTCAGGACTTAGGAGTGGGGGTCTTGAAGTCCAAGTTTAGACGGGGACCTAGACCCCATGACAAGAGGGTGATGGGTTGGTCCTTCTTGTGTCTAGGGTACAAGCGGGGCGTGTGTTTTTTGGGTACCCAGCTGGGGGCATTGATTCGCGAATCACCGGCATTCCGGTACGGCTTGTCTACGGTCTAGAACCGTAGTAAGAACTAAAAGATGGAAGGTGATGAAATGGGACTGATTGCTCAACTCTTGCTTGAAAGTAGAACATGTGCTTACATAGAATGGTTAGATAATAAATTAATCATGGCTGCTAATAATAACTTAAATAAGGACTCACTATTAGTATTATTTTCTGTAAAAAGGAAACCAGCAAACCATAAAACTTTGCATATCCCTTGAAGTCGGAAAACTATTTCCACTAGTCGGATAAGTCTTGCGAGTACATTGTGTACTCATGGTTTATTTACCCCTGTTGCAGGTAATGCTTGAGGAGTACCATTGTGTGAATGATTCTTCTGGTGGGCACAGACGGATCCTTGTTCTTTATCGCTAGATGTTTATTTCTATTCCGTTGTTTAATATTCCGCACTCTGGCTTTGGAAATATAATAATGTAATTTTTAAGAACTCTGGATGTATGAAATTGATTAAGTATTGTAACTTGTTCTCATTATTGGATCCTTGGGAAAAAATGTGGATCTTTCGGGCTCTCCCT